TATCAATGTGAATGTTAACATGTCAATGTGAATATTCATGTTGTCAACGGGCCAGGCCTGCGTCGGCCTAGGGCCGGGCTTCGGGCTGACCACGGGTCACGAGCTAATTTTACACTTTTATCAATGTTAATGAATATGTCAATGTGAATATTCACATTGTCAACGAGCCGGGCCGGGCCCGCCCTAGGCAGCGGGCAGGTTTCGGGCCGCCCACGGGCCACGGGCCAATTTTACACTCCTATCAATGTGAATGTTAATATGTCAATGTGAATATTCACATTATCAACATGAATATTCACATGGTCAACGGGCCAGACCGGGCTCGCCCCGGGCCGTCCATGGGACGCGAGTCAATTTTACACTCTTATCAATGTAAATGTTAATATGTCAATGTGAATATTCACATTGTCAACAGGCCAGGTCGGGCCCGCCCCAAGCCGTCCACGGGCCGTGGGCTAGTTTCGGGCAGCCACGGGGCGCGGCTAATTTTATACTCTTATCAATGTGAATGTTAACATGTCAATGTGAATATTTACATTATCAACGGGTCGAGCCGGACCCGCCCAGAGCAGCCCACGAGCCGCAGGCGGGTTTCAGGCCGGCCACAGGCCGCGGGCTAATTTTACACTCCTATCAATGTGAATGTTAACATGTCAATGTAAATATTCACATTGTCAACGGGTCGGGCCGGGCCCGGGCCCGGGCTTTGAGCTGCCCACGAGTCATGGGCCAATTTTACACTCTTGTCAATGTTAATGTTAATGTTAATGTTAATATGTCAATGTAAATATTCATATTGTGAACGGGCCGGCCCGGGCCTGCCCCGGGCGACGGGCTAGTTTCGGGCCGTCCACGGGCCGTAGGCCAATTTTACACTCCTATCAATGTGAATGTTAACTTGTCAATGTGAATATTCATATTATCAACGGGCCGGGTCGGGCCTATTTTTTTGGCTTGTGGGCCGGCCCGGCCCGACTCGAATTTTTCCCGGCACCCACGAGGATCGACATGAGCCGGGCCCCTACACATTGACGATATAAACATTTATATTGACGGTGTGAACATTCACATTAAGGGTATTTTAGTAATTATGTCACCTATAGGACTTATTGAAACATAAGAAAATAATGTGAATTAAATGAAACATAAGTAGATGAAAAGGGTATTTTGGTCTTCTTATCTCAAATTGGACCTAATGGAATAGTCAAAAAAAAATATGGGTTGGATGGAATAAAGCTCTTAGAAAATGGATTTATCAAAAAAGCTCCCTTTTTTAAAAATTGACTATTCAATTCACTTTTTATACTTAATTAGCCCCCCCTTATGCGCTTAGGCCCCGTTTGTTTTTAGAGGTAGAATAGAAGAAATTGATAGTGAGAGAATTAATAGTGAGAGGATCAAGTAAAATTGTGTTTGTCTTGATGATAGTTGTTAGTGTAAAGATTGTTAAATTATTTTTATATAAAATAATAAAATAAATAAAAAATACAAAAACAGATTTTTAATTATTCTATAGAATTTATACTAATATTATTTAATCTCAGTTCGGAAAATATATAATTTATTATATATTATTATGCGTAATTTTATAAAATAATATAATTATTTAAAAGTTTAAGGGTCAAAATATAAATAATAATAATATAGATAATATTAATAATAATAATAATAAGTGTGGTAGTAAAATAAATAATTAATTTTCTGTTGGTATACGATAAAGTATAATTTAATTAAAAATTAAATTATTCATATAAGGGAAATTTACCAATAAATCCTATTTCACAAACTGTTATACCAAATAGTCCCACTTTTATTCTATTATACCAAATAGTCCTGCTGGTGTATTGATTTGGTCCTTTTTGTTTTTTTTTTTCTTTTTTGTTTTACTCTGTGGACGAGAGTGCCCTTTCATTGATTTACAAACTGTCATTTTTGGTTCACTGATTTGGTCCCACTTTTCGGTGTGGCACACCCTCAGAGATTTGCGTGTGTGTGTGTATTAGTGAGTGTGTTGCAGAAGGGGTCTCCATGAGAGAGATGAGTGAGGCGGTGGGTCACCATGAGAGAGATGTGTTGCAGAATGGGTCTCCATAAGAGGGCTCGATCAAGCGGTCATCAATTCGTACCCTCGGTTTCCATTCTCGAAGGATCGAGGCGGTGGAATCAACGATCCGATGTATTTGATCTACTTGTGTGAGTATAAAGATGCTGAGATGCTGAGGCTGCTGCTGGGTGTGTGCGTTAATGGTGTCTTCTGTGTCTTCCAGTACGCCCAATCGCTCTGTCTCTCTTCGATCTGCTCCACCGCCGCCTCTCTTACCCTCAACTCCGGCTCGCGCATCATTCTCCGACTGCCGCGGAGGCTCGGCGGGCGACGCACGAACCGACGGCTCAGGAAGATTAGATCGGTCAGCAACGGCGTCCCTGTGTGTATCTGTGTGTGTGTGTGTCTGCCCTCACAATGTATGTGTGTATCTGTGTGTGTGTGTGTATCTGTGTGTGTGTGTGTGTCTGCCCCTCACAACTCCAAATCAATGGATTACTTCTTCTTCTTCTTCTTTTGACCGATCAACTATGGGAAATTGCTTTGGCAGACCTGCAAAGTGCGCTCATGCTTCTTCTAATCTATTCGTTGGTACAATTCTTCTTCTGATTTTTTAATTTTTCCCAATATAATCATGTGGGTTTGTCTTTGATTTCTAGGGTTTTTCTTTTGCATTTGTTATTTTGAGAATCTGTATTGAGCACAGCTTTAGAATCAGATCGAACACTTTAAGGTAAAATTATTGAAGTGCATTTCCCCAAATTCTGTGTGTGTGTGTGTGTATCTGTGTGTGTGTGTTGCCCCTCACAATGTATGTGTGTATCTGTGTGTGTGTATCTGTGTGTGTGCCCCTTACAATGTATGTGTGTATCTGTGTGATAGGAGAAAGAGCCCATTCCAGCCCCTGTGTGTGTCTTACGGTTAGATGAGGGTAATTATGTCCTTCACAATTAAATGGGACTAAATGGTTTAATAGAATAAAAATGGGATCAATTGGTGCATAAGTTCAAATTTTGGGATTTATTGGTAAATCTCCCAATAAAATAATGGTTTTTACTTAACAATAAATACAAAAAATTAAATATTAATGTTCAAAAAAAAATGCCCGACGTGTAAAAAATAAAATAAAAAATAAATAAAAATAAAAAATTTCTAGTCTGCCGGACTATTTTTTTAATACCAAGTCCTGGAGGCCCATCTGAATCTCCTTGGGAAGGTCCATCCTAATCCGAAGCTTATTATAGCACAATATTAGTGGGTCCTACCTCACTACTAATCTCAATCCTCCCTCTAACTCTCCAAACAAACGGGCCTTAATTAAGAGATTAGAGCTTCAATTTTTACAAAAAAAAAAAAAAGATAATAATAATAAATAATAATAATACTGATAATTTGTCTCTTATTACAGGGCGTCTTTGTTATGTTTCTTCTAATTGCGAGACTCTTTGTTGAGCTGTTTGTGGGCCTATTGAATAGAAAAATATTATATGGGTCAATTAGTGGATTAATTAGTGTATTAAATGATAATGCGATATAATTTAAGAGATTTTTTATATTTGTAATTTGTATAATGAGTGAAGTTAATAATAATATTATAACTAGTGTTAATACATTAATTACTATACTAATTAATACATGTTGCAATTATTTTATATTTATATAATGAATAGAATCAATAATAATACGATGATATAGTGGTTAGATCGTGAGTTCACTAAATGTAATTATTTTATATTTGTGATCAGCTATCAACTGATAGAAAAGTAAAAATAAAAAAATAGTTTTTTGTTTGGATTGTAGTAGTCGATAAGTTAAACTGAATTTTATTTTTGGATCTCATAATAATATAAGTATTAAAATTATTTAAAGCCCCTAAATTTTGTCAATTCAGAGGCCCAAGCCCTTTCTTGCCTACCAAAGGCCGACACTGCTGTTAGATCATTAATTGTCTTAAAATAAGATATAAGTTCAACAATATATATCAAGATAAATAAATCGAGAAGCAATACACACAAAAATAGACTGAACAAATTATGTTATAACAAAGATGATAGAAGTAATAAAACTTTTTGATGGGATGGACAAACGAGTTTGAAGCAGTACAAAAGACTTGAACGGTCCAGTAAGATTTCTTGAAACTAGAACTCTAATATTATGTTGAATCACTAATTGTTTCATGAACTTGAAGTGTTAGAAAATAGATCTAATACTGTTTATCAAAGTAACACAAATCATTCAAAATTTATCAGAATATCCATATAAATAGTAATATTCAAGAACACTGTCAATTGTTTTCTTATGTTGTAACAAGTAGATTTTTCAAGCTAGAGTTGACACAGCTCCAAAAAAATAAACATAATAAACCTAATTCATAAGTTAGAAAAAACATATGACTTGTCATTGTCACATTTCAATTTATATCAGGTCTTCACTGCGAGCAAACACATCACACATACAGACATCCACACGCGCACACACACATATACACACATGTTGAGATAGAAACACCTGAAGCCCAACAATGTTCATCATACATATATGCCCAACTCTAGTGCATAAGGCGCCTATCATTATAGAATTTGAGGAGGGATTGGTATATGTATATCCTTATCTGTGGGTGCAAAGAGACTATCGCAATGGAACAATCTTACCATTGTGCCAAAACTTGTCCTCATATGCCCAATGACAACTAGAAAATATAAATATCAAATACATAAAAGGAAACAAAAGAATAATTGGAAATGAAATGAAATGAAAAGATTCAGTAAATATCAACCTTTCCTATTTATTAGAAAGTATTACAGAGGAGCTGCAACAACCTCTTTCAAGACAAATATCAATTGGTACAAGTATTAATAACCCTAACATACAAGAACAATATATATATATATATATATAATACCAACAAATGTAGAACACTAGCAAATTAGGGACCCAAGTAAAAGTCCTAACAAATTTTCATTCATCATAGTCCTAACCTTAAATCCAAAGCCAACCCTGAAGAAAAAGAGGAGGAAGAATCATCCTCAACAGGGGCAGGCAAGTTCAAGTCCAAATCACAACATCCCTCGGACTTAGTTGGTCCATAAGGGTTGAGCCCTTGTGATGATGGTTCATCCCCTTTCTCCCAGTGGCACCTTTTGTGTCCACCGAGGGCTTGACCACTAGAAAATACCCTCAAACATATGCTACATTTGTGCCCTAATACCATCACCATCTTATCCTCCTCCTCCCCCCCATTCTCCCTCATCACTACCTCTCCTTCTCCACCCCCTCCACCACTACTCCTCTCATGATCTAGCGCCACCACTTCCTCTCCGTCGCTCCTCGTAATTGCAAAACAACCCTTCACATTCTTGTGACTAGCCCTGTGCCCTCCTAATGCCTGATGTGACCCAAACACTTTCTTGCAACTCGAACACTCGAATCGGCAATTCACATCCAAATTATCACCATCACCGCCACCGCCACTTGCCGCCGCCTTGTCATCCCTAACCACCACAGTATCAGATTCCAACATAGTAGCAGTAGTAGTAGCAGCACATTGTGTCTCAAAAGCAGTAGGAGAATTGGCCAACATTAACAAACAGGCGGCGACCTCGTGATCCTCCGGGGTCATTCTGGCGTCGCCGCTAATCTCCGGCGAAGTGGGTCGCCGGAAATTGGGCGGAGGGTTGATACCGCGCCACTGGCGTTCCGGGTGGCACCGCATGTGCCCGAAAAGCGCTTTCCATGACCAGAACTTCTTCCCACACTCACTGCAGGGGCGAGTAATCTTGGGAGCACTCGGGTCTGGCTTTTTTCCACACTTAGGCTTGGCAGTCGCAACACCACCACCGCTACTACTCGTAACCCCAATCGGGATCAATTTGGTTCTCTTCTTTCTGGGATTTTGGTGGTTGGCGGTGGCGACACCAAGAGAGGGAAAGCGCGGGAAGATTTGATGGTCCGGCGGAGCAGATGAGAGTTGGAGATAGGTGGTGTGGTTGTGGTTGGTCATCATCTCTGTGAAAATGCAGATTCGGGGGAAAAAGTTGAACAATGGGTCATGATTGCCTTAAAGTAGCCCAAGCAAGCGGTTACCACTCCATGAGAGAGAAAACAGAGGGAGGAGAGAGAAAATAGATTTGAATTTGGGTAGTTATTTTCAGTTATGCATGTTTATCTGTATGTATTCTATTTTATATTTATATTTAATTTCTCGGGAGATTTTGGGGGAGAGAGACGATTTCAAGAGACTGTCTGTTCGGTTGCTTGGGAAGTATTGTGTGTGCGCGTGACCACTTGGAGAGTAAGTGAAAGGGTTTTGATGATCTCAATGTTTACTCTTGCAGATATGTAATGGGACGATTCTATGGTGTAGATGTAGGGCTGGGGACGAAAGAAGGAGAAAGTGATGTGATGATGTTGTTGTTGCTGCAGATCAGATCAGAGTAGAGTAGAGTAGAGTAGAGTGGAGTGTCGTGACCTAGCCAGCCATGACTCGTGCGTTTTTCGGAGAAGATTCGCTATTAATTTTTGGAGGGTAAAATTGGAAATATACAAACAAAAATGTAAATTTAGTTGTTGGCCCACACCAACCTCCATTAGTGAACCAGCGTTGTTAGTAAATATATGATACAGATCCCCACAAACATTCCACTCTCATCAACTCCACGCACGTGTTAGAGAAATAAGAAAAAAAAAAAATGTTTTGGAATTTTAATTTTTTACCTTTAAAAGTAATTTTAATGAGTTGACAGTGGGTTCTACCCATAATGATATGATGTTTTAGTCATATTTGTTTTTATTTTATTTTTTTTATTCATTACTATGTCATTAGTGTTCCATTAAAACACCAAAATTTGGAAAATTTTATTTCCATCACCCTAATAAACTTAGGACAAATCTTTTCTCAATACACATCTCTACTAATTTAATTATTAAGTAATTATCTCAATCCACATCCTTAAAATTACAAATAAATCTTTCACTCATATGTACACACACTTTACCTCAAAATACACACACTTTAATTTACCATAATTTACAAATCTACTTCCACCCACTTTCGTGAAGACCAAAGTGACCCCAATTTACATTTCTACTTCAAACAGGAGGGAAGAAGAAGAAGTTCAAACAGGAAACCCAAAAAAAAAAATCTGCACTTTCCTCACCTCCATTGCAGATTTCAAGAGCTCCATTGAATATCTACTAAACACCGTTGAAAATCTTGTTTAAGGTAAGAAATCTTTCAATTTTATTATTACATTTATCATTTTGTTATTAGATTGACAATTTTCGGATCTCTCTTCACTCCATTCGCATGAAAGTATGTTTTTTCCGTGGCTGGAAGTGCTGTGTACATCTCGGCACTGGCTTTCCGAGAATGTGTGTTTAATTCGGCACTTGATTTCCGAATTTTATGTATAATTTCGTCCAATAAATGTCGAAAAAAATACATAACTTCGGCATTTGACAACCGAATCAATTCGATATTTTCGGTGACCTTATGCCGAATAAATACAATAATTTCGGCACTTAATTGTTGAAATATTTTTGTTAGTTCGGCCCTAAAGTGCCGAATGGGTTTTTTTTTTTTTTTTTTTTTTGGATATAGAACCAGGTTATATAGGCCACCAATATTTGTTTTACTTTAGGTTCTTTTCCAATAATTTTATTTTATGAGTATGTTTATGTATTTTTTTTTTCCCCAAATTGAATGCATAACAATAGAAACAAAAAACTGTGCAGTATTAGTATTTTCACATGATATTGTTAGCTTAGTAGTTGGGTCTTCATAAATTTTGTTAGCTAAATAGCTGAACAAAATAATTGCATTATATAGAGTATTAAAAGCTTGAGTTAATTTCACATCATTCAAATTGTGAATTTAATGGTCTATAACTGCGTACTAGATTTCATTAAGGTGGCATGCTTAGGCTACTTATTACCTGCATTGATGTGATCCTTTTATGGGAGTGCTTATTATGTTTCATTATATTGGGTTGATAAGAACAACTTTTCTTATGCAGATGGATGTCAGTCCTAGTGAACGTCGGTCAGTAACAGCTTCGAACAGAAGACTCCGTGAATTAGAGAGACGTGGACGTGGACGTGCTCAAGTGCATGATGATAACATGCACATTGCCATGGATGATGACCCTATACATGGTGCACCAGTTATGGATGATGACCCTACTGGTGATAATGCTGACGTTGTTGATGAAGATATCCTTACTCAGCCATTTCCAAGAGGTCCAACTGATCCATCAATCCTTAAAAGTTTTAAAAGTCATGTTGCCGCAGCTATTTGGAATGGTGCTTATGAAAGGGGACCCTTAAAATGTCATAATCACTCATCTAAGATTCGTTCGTGGCCGTGGTGGGAACAAGGAAACAACGCTATATTTGTAAACATTGTTGAGATGTGAGGACTTGCACAATTAGCTCGTTGCACGTACCGCTTTGTCAATAAAATTGTAGTGTCTACTTTTATTGAGAGATGGCAACCGGAGACAAACACCTTCCATTTGATTGTTGGAGAGATGACTATCACATTGGACGATGACGCCACTATCCTAGGGCTTCCCATTGTAGGCAAATCTATTAGCGTGCGTAAGTTGTCAAAAAGGCGGGCTGTTACATTAGTAGTTAATACCTTGGAAATTGATGAGCAAGAAGTCAAACATGAGATGTCTACTGCTGGAGGCAATTCAGTGAGGCTTGAGTGGTTGAGGGCACACTTTCATAATGTCACAGACAATGATTCAATGGAAAGAATTGCATGTGCAGGTAGAGCATACTTGCTATTTTTGTTGGGTTGTACACTTTTTAGTGACAAGACTTGTACTAGGGTCCCCGTTGTTTATTTGAGTTTGTTGTCCGATTTGACGACTGTATCTTCATATGCTTGGGGTGCTGCTGTATTGGCATACTTATATAGACAGTTGGGGTACGCTAGCAGGTCCGGCGTGAAACAAATAGCTGGTTACATGACACTCCTTGAGGGATGGATTTATGAGCACTTTCGTGGATTTCGACCACACTTGAATATGAATTACACTCGAGACATGCCAAATGTTTACCGTTGGATTTCTCGGAGAGAGTGTGGTGAAGAGACACAGTTGCAGGCTTTTTGAGAGAAGCTTGATAGGTTGGGTGTACATGATGTAAGTTGAAAAGTCCTTCAAAATTTGAAACTCTATATCATACAAAATTTACAGTTGTCATATCTTACAGTTTTTATTGTTTGTAGGTTATTTGGGACCCGTACCAGAGTTGTAGAGATGTCCATCCATGTCATCCAGTTACGTTCTACCATGGTTGCCTAAAGTGTTTGAAAGTAGTTGAACTATATCACCCTGATAGAGTGTTGAGACAGTTTGGCAGAGTGCAGACAATCCCTAATCCACCACTTGGCCCTATGCATGCTTCTCGAGGAGCCACAGCTCCACGCTACAATGTTATGTATGCATACTTGGACATCATTTGGGAGGCATGGGACAACCACGTGTTATCTGATCCGAGGAGGAGTACATCAGTACGACAACCTTAGGATTGTGTTCCTGGTTACATGGATTGGTACCAAACCATTACCCATATGTACGTACAAAACCCAGCGCGTCGTTCTCAAGTGGATCCGAATATCCATCATTATCAGTATCCTAGCCAAGACGCACAGGTATCCTTTTTTTCATTTAGATTGCAAATTATTTATGTAAATTGTTACAAGTTTGTACATAATGTTATATTTGTTCTCGTAATGCAGCATATGTCACAGATATATCAGATTACTCATCCTTTCATTGAGGCTGGCTATGAGGACAGTGTTCAACATCTTGATAGGCTTTACTACGCGATTGATGCAATCGAACAACTTCTTCAAGATCAGCACAATAGTGAAGCTGCGCCCAACACATCCACTCAAGGTCGGTCTGCACCTAGCTCTTCCACTGCGCATCGTTTTGGAGCACATTACACACGCTGGTCATGTAGTTAATAGTAGTTCATAATGTTAGCACAAGTAGTTTCTGATGATGTTGGTAGATGTATAAGGAGACAAATATTATTATTATCTTCGAATTATGTATCTTTTGGATTATGTACAAGCACACATGTCATTTGTGATGGTGTGGATGGATTGAACTACTATTTAGTATATATATATTTTATTTACATACTTGTTTAATCTTATTACTTTTTAACAGCAATTGCACTTGGTTAATATTATTTCATTATGTTTTGTGTTCAGACAATGTAAAAATAATATGACATCCATTCCATAAATTAGAGAACTATAACGCATATAATATTCTATTTTTTAAAACAAAACTGACAATTACAAAATCCAATGGCAAAATGTTATCTACCTCGTTACTCTATACTAGTAAATCATAAAAACTAATGTCTTAACCCTCTCATTACTACTCTGTAATACCTCAATCTATGGCAATGGGAGGAACTGGATGACCGGCTTCCAAAAACACCTATACGTACATCCAAAAAATTACATATCTTTACCAAATACATAAAATTTGTAATTACACAAATATTAGACAACAATGTTTGGTTATTTTCATAACTTATACCTGCACAAAATGATTTCTATTGACAAATCCAATGGCAATCTCGCGACGATCAGCTAGGGTTACCGGCAGTGATCTCAAAGGTAAGAAAGTGAGACAGTGTTGCAATGACAAGTGGTACAAGACTACATTATAAAATGATGCAATAAGATGCCCCATGTCAGGCATAGTCATCCAACGATCAAAGCCTGGGCTATTTTCAAAATATGAAAGGATGTGTGTTAGCTCCTTAACCCTCTCATGCGACCCATATAGTACGACGTATTCATCTCTGTGATTATTCAATTCAAGTAGCAGATCACGCCTAACTCGCACCGAATCATTCTCTCCAAGACCAAGTAAACCTGCAATAGTTCTAAATCCACAATTCCTATCACCATCTACATCCTTCATCAACTTTATGAATGGTATTGACGTAGGCGGAAAGTCAACAGCATATGCACTCGGTAAACTTGTTCTTGTACGATATGTCTTTGTCTTCACATTCCGCTTCTTCTCATGCACTTTTGAAGCTCTCTTTTTCTTTGACTGACTGGAAGCTAATGTGCTCTGGCTATCATGCTCATCGTCAACTAACTCAAATGCACACGGGTCAAGACGACAAGATATATCAATTTTCTTATGTCCTCGACGTGGATTAGGTTTCACATCGGGCTCAATATGAAAAGTGCTCGCTGGATTTGCAATTTCCCTCAACTTCTTTAACATATCCAATTGCGTGGCAATATCAAACTCTTCAAACCACTTTAAAATCAACTCAAGTTCTGGGATACAAGTCAATTCCAACTTCTGATCCTTCGGATTATGCACACATATAGTAAGGCGCGTCCAATGTACATGTATGCTACTGAGTGGAATAGGACGACCTTGTCTCGTGTAATCTAGCAATCTCGTGAGCACAAGGTAAACCATGTGTGCGCCTAAGAACACACCCACATGTTGCAACATCAATTCTAACTGAATTTGCTCTCTTACTCTCTGCTAACACGTACTCCAATGCACAAATAGACTCATTACCCCGGAGCTCTCTGAATTGAGAAGGTTTGAATTGATGTTGTACAGTTGTCAAACTCTTCTCGAATGATGCTTTAACTTGAATGTGCTGCAACTTAAGTAGACAATGTATTTTTTCAAATGAAATCTCAAATGTCGTTTAACTTGAACCTAATTGCCTCTTCAATCTAGCATGAGCACTCTCAACACTGTTCATATGGATGTAAACCAAAATAGTCAAGCATAATAATTAAAAATAACAATATGATTTATAATAAATTAAAAAAAAAAGAAAAAAATCTTACCAATTGGTTGTAACATTTCCAAAATGCATACACATGTCTGTATGTACCGCAATGAATTTTTCTTGATATGGATTCAACCAACTCACAGTAACATATTTGATTGCCTCCGGATAGTTACTGAAATTCTTATGTAGTGTTGCAAGGTGATCATCGTATTCCTCTTTAGTCGATGACAATATCAAATAATTCTATGCAGTGTTAAACTTGTCTCATTTTTCTTTTGTCTCAAACATTTTCTTGTATTTTGTCAATACATTCTTATTAATATGCCAACGACATAACAAATGTCGAGCATTCGAAAAGGTGTTGTCTATGGCATTCATCAAAACAAGCTCTCTGTCTATGACAATGACTTCAGGTAAAACACTGTCGTCCATAAGATCACGCAATATTTGTAACGCCCATGCATAATTATCAACCCGCTCAGTTTGCAAGTATGCGATAGCCACGGAGAATGTCATATGAATTGATGTTACTCCCACAATTTCAAAAAGAAGAAGCCAATATCTATTCGTCTTATATGTGCAATCCATAATCAACACACGAGGAAATGTACGAAGCAAATCCAAACTCACTAGATGTAACAACCCACATTTATGTCTTAGTCATGTTCATGAGCATTTGTATGATTATGACTCGTTAAGCTTGCATTTGTATGTTTGTGACTTGTTTTGCCTAAGTAAGGTCCATGTCTTGTTTTGTGTTTATGTGATTTGCCTAAGTGTTGTGTGCATGCTTTGTTCCTTCCTTGGTGTCTCGAGCCTAAGTTATGTTAAGCCTAGATCATTCCAAGCCGAGGTCATCTTCAGTTTAGAATTATCTTGGAACCACTTTGTTTGACCTCCACTTTCGCTCTGGCATATTGGCCGAGATGTCATTATCTAGGCCGAGGTGTTCATCACCAAGACCGAGATGTGTATTATCTAGGCCAAGATGTTACCTTTGCACCTAAGTGATCTTGTCCTGGAGTGGTATGACCTAGACCGAGGTGTGGCACATCTAGGCCAAGGTGTGGCACAACTTAGTCAAGTGTTGTCCTTACTAGCCGAGGTTATTGTCACCTTAGTTGCCGAAGCTTTGTCCTTAGCCGATGTCATCACTTGCCGGAGTGCCTTACCGGGTAGCTTGTTAGATACACTTTGTCTTACACATGTCTTGTCAATCTATCACCTTTTTTAGGAGAGCCAACCAGTCGTTACCACGTGTCCGAGCTGAGTGTTAAGTCAGTCGGCAGAGAGAGAAACCTATCATTTGTTATATCCTTGTTTTGAAGAAGAGAGAGAAGCTCTAGAAGAGGGAGAGGAGTTCTTCAGGGAGAGTAGATTTCCAAGCTTGATCCCTAGAGATCGAACCGTTAGATTCGTGTTCTAAGGTTAGATTCTTGATCTGCTCTTGTCGTTCTTCATGTTCATGTTATTGCATTACATGATTGAATACAATTTGTAAGCCATGCATTGCTTTGAAATTCGGTTTTAGAAAGAAAAAATAGTATTCGTGTGTTCTTCAAGAAAAGTCATGTTTTGATCCGAAAGCTCATGCCTAGGTCCATGTTTTGTGTTTGTTTCCATATGATCTTCAAGTATGGGTACCCAGGTCCATGTTTTTGAACTCATAGCATGAAATCCCAGATTTTGTAATAAAGAAGTTATGATTTTAGCATTCATGTTCTTCATGATCTTCATGTTCATGTTCTTCCTATTCTTCACGTGTGGAAACCCAGATCTCCAGACCTCACTTCCCTAAGTGTAGTCGCCGAGATCACTCTTACCTAGACCTCACACTTGGGCCAAGCATCATATCTCACTTTGGCCTACCTTGCATGATCACTTACACCTTTAGTTTGTCTTGTGCGCACCTCGGCATGCAGCCGCACACCGAAGCCTAGGTAGCCACACCTCGGCCAGGAGGCGTGGGACCTCGGCAAAGACCTGGTTGATACCCAGCATGTCTCCCTGACATGTAAAACAGTGTTTTGACTTCCATCATGTTTTCCCGAGATCATTTGCATGCATGTAAGACTTGTTTTGAGAAGTGCATTCAGTAGACTTTGCCATGTATTTGTAGGACTTGGATCTTTGCCTGGATCCCAACGTCCGAAGAGCTATGTGAGTGGTATTTTTAATAAAGCTATGTTATAAGATTTTGATAAAGCTTTGCCTTGTTTTGATAAAAGTATTTGTTAAGCATGAATGATATCCCTATTTTATGTATCAAGTATAAGCTTTGTTTTGGATGACATTCTTGGAACCGTCCTTTCGTGTTAGGGGACGTTAAGCCTAGGTAACATAGTCCTTCCGTGATAGGGGACTTTAAGCCTATGTAGCATAGTCCTTCCATGCTAGGGGACTTTAAGCCTAGGTAGCACCGTCCTTTCGTGCTAGGGGACGTTAAGCCTAAGTAACACCCTTGTTAAGATATCGGTCACCGACGAACTATGAACGGGTGTGCTCGATGCCGAGGTTATGCTTTTGTTTTGCCCGGAATGTCATCACCCCATGTTTTAAGTTGACGTATGTTAAGTAAGTAAGTAAGTTTTGAAAGACCAAGGTTCGATTGATGTTTTATTTCAAGCCAAGTTAAGCTATGTTATGTATGGTTTTGATAAAGATATATTATGTATTGTTTGAAAAGATCTTGGGTATCATTCATTTAACCCCTTTATTACTTGTACCATTCACTGAGTATCCAAGCTCACCCTCCCTATGTATATATGTAGGTAACAAGCAAGAAGTCGGCTACGCCGAGATGTGTGTTTTGTATGTATGTTATGTCGGCAGTGAGGATGTCGACAATCTGGAAGATTATGTTTCTCGACTTGTAGTTCATGTGTTTTGTACATGTCGGCTTGAGAGGCCTTTGATCAAGATGTAACATGTATTTTGCTTATGTTATATTCAAGATGTAAGACCATGTTAAAGATGTATGTCATTTCATTTTATCTATGCACTGCTCTTATGGACCACTTGTATTGTAAATTATTGCTTCCGCACATGTTAGCCCCCTATGTAATACTCTGATTGTGTGTGAATTTTGAAAGTTGGCCTTCAGTAATCTCGGATTACTGGCCATCACGGCACCATCCTACTAGGGGCGGTTTGGGGTCGTGACACTAGATGTGCCCAAAACAAGTCTGTGACAGTCATAGAGCCTTCCTCACATCGATGACACTCAATGTACTTATGTTTCGCTAATTCACCCAGCAGTTGTTGCATCTGGGATCTACCAGCTTTCTGTAGAACTCTACATCGATGTCGTACATTGTAAACTATCTTCATTGTGCTCATATTAAGGGCATCCCTCTATTTGAGTGTAATGAGTATCTCTTTTAGTCTTACTAGGCTCTTTGACATATCAACTAATAGCGACTTTTCATTAGCTAACAATCTCCCTGCATATGAATGTCCTTGGAGATGCTCCGCAGCTGGATGATTATGCAGCCCGCAAATGACATTCAATGTCCATTCATCATTTGTTTTCAACTTGAATGCCCTCAAATCAAATGGACATTCGCACTTTTTCGTACCAATTTGTCTCAATAAGTCTTTTGGGCCATCTTTTAACTTTTTACGCAATCTATACTTCCCACTCCGCTCACAAGCAAGACAAATTCTTGGTCTCTTACGACCGCCACCATAGTCCGACGTTCTTATAATAATAACGAAGCCATTTATCCTTCCAATGTCTCGTACCCAAGTGAGCAATTCATCTTTGTTGTCGAAAACCTATATATGATGTCACATAACTTTCATAATAACAAACTAAACAAACTAACTAGTACAAATTTATGAATTTACAAATTTTATGTTAAAAAATTACCTATTTAGCTGTAAAATGGCTAGTACAATCCACCATAATATCCGATTGAATCTCAGGTTCTTCAGTGCATGCCATCTAAAGAGGAGGGCGAAAATTTCAATTCGGTTCTACAGAGCCAAAATAAGTAAAATAATTCGGAAAACAAAAATCGAAAATAATAACAAAATTCGAACTTCTAGGACCAAAAATATTAATTTTCTTCGGTACTCTATGACCGAAAATATTAATTTTGTTCGGTACTCTATTATCGAAATAAATTAAAAAATCGTAATCCTAGTTCCGAACTATTCATATTATTTCGATATCTAGTAACCGAATTGATTTAACAAATTCGGCACTGCGTTGCCGACTAAAAAACGAAAAAAATAAATAAAAAATATTCCACGATTTTACCTTTTCAACGCTGATTTTGCTGTCACCATTGCTTGAGTTTGAACTGTCATTGGTTTGCAACTCTTCCATATCAAAATCAAATAAAAATTGTTGAACTAATAATTATTCGATGTTAATAATTGAGTATAAACTTAAAGATTAAAGCAATAGAGGAGATTTTTTGTTTGCAAATAACAGAGAGGAGTACAGAGTGTATAGGAAGCAAAGTGATTACAAAAGAAAAATTAGGGTTTAATTTTTTTGTTTCAAAAAGTGTATATTGAGATATTTTTATTTCTAAAAGATGTGTATAGAGAATTTGTATATATAATATTAGGAGTGTTGATCAATGGCTATTATAGTAATTTTTAATTAGGATATAACTGTCATTAATGTAATTTTTCATTAAGTGTGTTGACTGAGCTTATCAGGGTGGTGGAAATAGAATTTCTCCCAAAATTTGTAGTCTGAATCATTACTGGAAAAAAAAAAAACAAAAATACATTTGACCAATCACAATCATTTAGGAGTTATGAAGGTCCATAAAATAGGAGTCTCAAATATTTTCCATATATATATATTGAATGCTTGCTATTTGGGGACTTTGGGACTTAGAAAAATATATATATATTTTTGGTTATGGTAGTGATGGTGTGGAGTGGTGGTGCTGGCGATAGAAATGGTAGGATAGTGGTGGTACAACAATAGTGGTAGGGTAGCGTTGTAACAATAATAATGACTTATTAATAAGACTGGTCTACTTTTGTGTACTCTTTTAAAAGCAAAAAGACATTGTCTTTAAAATACAAAAAATATTTTCTATTCAAATTAACTCGTTTTCGTTGACTACATTAACGGCGTCATCAATTAGCGTAATGCTACATTAACTAATTTTTTTATACTATCTTTCCTGTAATACCTCATGTGTCAATATTATATTCGAGATCAACATGTATGTTGAAACCAATAATATACTGACACAAAAGGTGACACTAAATCATATGTAGTATAAAAGGTGGCAGTGTGACATTACCTGTAGAGCTAGTCTGTCACCCAGCCACTAATCTGATATCAGTTTTTTCTTGCAACTTCTCTTCTTATCCATCCAATGATGCATACCAATACGCCACAACATTAACATTTCAAGGATTGAATGAAACTGCATTTACATACATTTTCATATAACAATCGATATTCAATCAGATAGCAAGATGCTTTGTCCGCTTTAACTTCATGCACAGCCATTTATCAAAAAACAATGTCATTGTTCTAAAACCACCACACTTTCTTTAAGCACAATATCAAACAATATTATTCACTTGAATTGAAACTAAAATAGAGCAACTTAAACAAGCGTCGTGAATTGCAACCTGAGACCATTAGTAAAAATTCACAGCTTAACATTTAGCATAAATTTCAACCATACAGTGCTCGTCTCATATTCCCAATTGTTTCACATTGTGCACCCACTAGAACAATTTCTTTACGTCAAATTTTTTGATGCTCTGCAATGACTCAGAAAATTAAGAAAACTCTACGTGCAAAGGAACAAATTCTAACAAAAGATGAGGGTGAGAGTAGAAACTTCACTAAAGCGATGGTTAATACAATACAGCATCGACAAGTATTAACTGGTTTCAGTCTCAGGATTAGGAGGTCTAGCAGAAATGGTAGTCAGACATCTTACAGGGAATACTGGTAAACTACTTGGAGGATGACCAATGCAGAAATCCAGATAAAGAGGAGAGAAGGTCACAATCTTTGGTCCGAAACACAATGAAAGCTTGGTTCATTACATTCTCTCAGTTCTCCGACTGCCCTTGTTGAGCTGAGGGCGCTCTAGAGATCTCTGAATATTTTCCCAAGACATCCAAAAGTCGAACACGTTGTATCTCTTTTGCTGTCAAAGGGAGGGAAAAAAAATTAAAGCACATCAGCCTCTTCTTGCCTCAATATATTCAAAAGTGAGCAGGAATCAATAAGCAAGATAATTCCGATGAAAAGTCTGAATCTAACACAATACTAGGCATGTAAAGCAGTAATAGAACAAAAAAGGCAGGAATATTCATTAATTCTTCAACCACTACTCGTAACAACTGCTGCCGCTATTCAATGTGTCTATTATTGAATATGATACATTTATGATCTATTTATTGCCAAGTGATAGTAGGAAAAGAAATAATCCTTGGAATCTTACTAAAGCCATTGTGAACTTGATCCATGACAAGATTCAAAGTCTTCAATTATGTTCCTGTATTCTACATAAAAATTCTGAATTTTATGATTAGGTAGTGATAGCAAGAACTTAACAGTAGTCCAAAAGACAAGCAGTGACACACACACATGCACACACACAAATCAAGCTTGTGTTTAAAGTTAAACTCCGAACTGTTGGAGGATTCCAAGTAATTTCTTTTACCTATGTCTTTGGCAACCAAATGCAGCACAAAAATTTGATGGCAGCATAAAAATTTGATGAGACAAGAAGTAACAAAATGGTTATGATTAAGAACAGCATTACAAAAACAATTAGATGATGCCATAAATGAAAGGAGAAACTAATTAATATCACACATGATCTAACAGGCTCACCCCTGTCCGTCCACTAAGTAAAGATAGAAACACATGATTGATGCACAGCCTATACTGCAATGCATGTCTGTAAGAACCCACATTTTTTCATCTTAATCATGTCCATGAGCATTTGCATGATTATGACTTGTTTAGCTTGCATGTGTATGTTGTGATTTGTTTCGCTTGAGCTAACGCGATCCATGTCTTGATTTGAAGCCTAGTGATTTGTCTAAGTGAACTACTAGGGGCGGTTTGGGGGCGTGACAATGTCATCATTCAATAGCATGTGACATACATCTGCAGCCTGCTGAAACATCCAATATCCAACCTACATGCAAGGAACCAGGCCCTCCCCATTAACAGTGCAGCAAGGAACAACAGATGGTACACGATGTAAGCTTCACTAAACCTTGCAGCACAAGTAACAGGACAGCCAACAGCAACAAGCAGACCTAGCCCTCCCCATTTGACAGTGCAGCAAGGTACAATAGATATGTACAAGGTTAGCTTAGTTTTGACCTTGCTGCACAACTAACAGGGAAAGCCAACAGCAACATGTACATCACAACTATCCTGCCAATGCATCCCCTTGCACAGCCTCATGGGCGTATTAAGGGCCCGAATTGTGCCCAACAGTTGAGTTGAGACACTATGACAGCTATCCCAAACCAACTCCCAGGGTCCATATATTTCAATAAAAAATATATCCCATGAAAAATGCACTGGGAGAATTTTCTAACATTACTTAGAGAGGTTTCTTATAAAATAACTTGAGAGTTCCAATATATTGTTCTGGTGATTTGCTTAGTGCAATGGTCAAAATTTGGACAATAAAGCAGGAGAACACAGTTTTGAGTATGAGAGCAACCACTTCAAGCAAATAATGCCAAAAACTAGGTCCAACACTAGGCAACCCACATAAATGGAACACAGCACTAGGCAATGGCCTGTAAGATCTCTCACTGAGAGATTTTGCCCACAGAGCATAGAAAGAAAATACATTCCTAGAACTATCCTAGGAAATATCTCGTATCAAAATAAATGCCATCTAAGAGTTATTAAAAAAAAAGAAAAAAAGAGATTGCTGCAAAACCCAACCTTATATTTAGGTAAGGTCGCAAAACCCAGGATATCACATCATATGTGAAGTTGGATGGGTTGTTTCAGCTGAATTGACTACCTCTCTCAGATATCCTCGATAATATGCCTTCCTAGTGTCCAATGAGAAATGGAAATTGAAACAATCTCCAATATCAAAAATATACATCCATCCAAAAAAAAAATCATGTTGCAGCAAAAAATATGATACTTGTAGAAATCAGAAAACAAATAAAACCAATTAAGGAAAGGGATCTTATCTTAAGCATAATTGATATAATCCAGTATGCTAATCATAATTAACGATGACTTGAAATGTCACCATTAAAGATACAACAAAAATAAATTTTGGAATAATCATTATCCTATTTTTATCGGTCAGAATTAATGGAAAAGTAAAAAGAGGAGGGGAAGAGTATAAAATCAAAAGAAAAAAACTTAAGTTTTACAGTTGCCTATGGCAACCGAAGTATGGTCAGCTGCTTTGAGACAAAAAGACAATATTAGAGACCTTGCAATTAGCAGTATGACAATACATTTAAAACTAGCTATTACAAAATAGTCATTACCATAACAGAAGCGCAAAAATTCCTGCATTAACAGACGAAATGGTTGCACAAAATGGAACAATCAAACAAAACCCCATCCCAAACGATGCAATACAACACACCAGGTGACAATAACCTTTTGTAGACAGTATAAAGTAGCTATGTTATTTCTACCTTAGCTTTCTAACAGAAAAAGTAGGTAATTGTAGCAGAGAGGAGGCGGTTATGGTAAAAATAGACAATTCCATCATACTGTGCGTGCAAAACTATCACTATCTGAATTGTTTATTGAACCCTTTAACGTTTACTGTAATTCTGAAGTAATGGCGTAAATTGCCCTGTATATAACCACCTCCTTGGCTAAAAACAAACTAGCCACCTCTTTACCTTATAAAGTACACAACAGTTCTAGTAAATATACACAATTTTTATGGAAGAATGTTAAACAATAGAGGGAATGCACACACTACGCCTATGCAGCATCGAAAAGAGATGGAAAGTATAAATGTGGCCAGTCATAAGCAGTTTAACCAAAAAAATGAAGTGGGAGAGATTTTCACGGAATCTAATTTATTTCTCTCATCCTTCACCCCCACCAATCAGTCAATCAATTTCCCACTTCTCGATATTTGCAAAAGAATAGGAGTTTTAAATCACATTCTTAAATGATAAGAAAATTCCTAGAATAGCTTACTTTAAACAATTACATTTTCCCAGAAAAGCAAAAAATTTATTGGGATTCAAAAGAAGGAAACACCAAACTAGTGTTCTATCTTTGGCCTTGTTTGGGAAGTATAGAAAATAGCCAAAAAGCCACTACAAGTTGTCACATCACTCTCCCTACTTTTCTGTGCATCCTTTCGTAAAAAGCCAAAAAACCAACTAAAATAGCCAATTCTTAAACGGGCCCTTTATAATAATATAGATGATTTTAAAAGCAGTTTTTGCTACAAATAGTCTGTCAATAAGAATCCAACATGGGGAGCATATTTAGCATCTAATCCATGATATCCAACCGAGATACCAAATTTTAAACCCTAAAACTCCAGAGCAGATGGCATATCATCATACTATAATTTATTATTCATACAACAGCAAGGTCCACAATATACCTAAAAGAAGGACTACCTATGGAAGCAAAGTCTTACCTATTTTATGATGTTAGGCTGCTGCTGGTGTCTGTCTCAGACCCCACCACCTATGTCTGTGTTCAGAATAGTCTCAATTTCCATTTCAAAAAGTTACCATTTTTGGCACCTTGTACCCATGTTAGATGCTAATAAATCCTTTCTATGTAAGAGAAAACTCGAAGAATCTGAACCTGATGGTGGCAGCTTCCAATACCCATTCTCCACAAAAAATAAAAGAAAACAGATGTACGACCTACATACCATTGGCAGTACCCTAGCACATTGTTATCAACTATAAATTATAAAAGTTCCTTGTAAAAGCAAATAACAATGCCTGGCACTGACATTAAGCATAAAAGCATATTTAAGATTGTAAGAAAAATAAGAGTTGTATGAAGTAAATGAGGGAAATTTCAGATCGGAAGTTCAATAGAACCAAAACAACTTCTTCATGATATAGTGCCCATTTTCTGGGAGGGGCAGATTCAGTGCATATTATATCCTTATTCTTGGTTGTACAATTTTGCATGTTAATATCCTTCTTAATTGTTTCATAAATTCAAAAGCTACAAGTTAAAATTTATATTACCTTCCTCCAAAGAAAGCTGAATTGATCTCTTTTCTAGTTCGACAGCATGCCTGCTAAGTTCAACTGAAGAGAGGGATCGAAGCACTGATGGATAAAACACAATGCAGATCAGTAATACAGGAATCACAGCAATGAAAAGAGAGCATTCAAAAGCCATTTCATTGAAATTCAAGGACATACTCTGAACATAATCTTCTTGATTTGATTGATCCAATATTTTCAACAAGTCCTGCAATTGGCAATATCGCTCTTCCCAGTGCTGGTTATTCATTTTCTTTGGATAATCCAATGGAGGGGTAGAAGAAGAAATAGGAAGATAATTAGCATCTGTTGGTTGTACAATGTTACTGGACTTCCCAATAGAGGGAGGAACTGATGGTTTTCCAGATGAGTAGCACATCAAAGAAGTCCTTGGAATAGGTGCAACTTCTGGAACACAAATCTTAGGCTCCTTCATCTGGGATTTTGGTTGCGGTGTTTCATCCTGGTCACCTAGTTTTCTTGCTTGTGGGCAATAGGCATTACTGTTTGTGTTATCAAAGATGCTGCTTTTAGCTAGTTCTACTTCAGGTCTTCTACGAACATACACAAGATGCCCATTTGCAGCATTACTGGTTGGAGACTGGTGCTGAGGTGCACTCACCAGACACTCAGGTGCAGGCCTTTTGGTACCAGAAGCCTTAACAGCCTTGATTGTGGGTCCACTCTCCTTTGGAAATAAAGAGCTTCCCAAAGATTTGGGCACTGCAATTCTATTCTCATTCTGCAAATCTCTCAGTGCCATTTTCTTTGCAGTCACTGGCAGTGGCAGTTGCTTATCTTGATTGGCCAAGCCAGTTTCAGTATTTGGAATCCCATATCCACTAAACTTGGAATCAATAGTTTGTTGAACCATCTGAAGTTATTCAATCTTTTGCAACAAAACACAAGTTCAGGGGATGCACCATAATAAATTAGAGGTCAACTCAACAGCACCCCCACAAAACAAAATACTTATATCTATCTTTCCTTCATTTTTTTATCTGGATGCATATTTGTTTCACGAAGATAATGCGTTATACTGGAAATGAGCAAACAAAAAAATCTAACAAGTAATCTGTTGCCCTACATACATCTTGATCTTGGCAAGTGATAACAGAGTAACAGATTATTTGTAATACCATAGGTGTTACCATTTTCATTAAATTTATATGGTAGAATTATTTATCATGCTACTGCATGATTCAAGTTTGATTGTGAATGAAAGTACTCATATTATGAATGCTGTGGAATCGTATGAAGAAAACCCTAAGAAAATACGTAACACACTTATTGGTTTAAATTGTTCAAAAATGCATATTACTCTAGAACTTTGTTATTAGAATCGCACGATTTGATTTGATTCAGTGAGTAATCGATACGAACTAGTTACATGAATCACAAAATAGTTGTGAATTGACGGTGAATCGGTGAATCATGAATTGATCAATTCACTTTTAATTAGCTAAAATCGATTATTGGCCTCCTTCTTTGCTTTTATATTATCCTTTGACTTTCTCCCTCCCTATTTACTCTCAAAGACTCAAACCCTAAAAAAACACAAACCTTCTCTCTCTACAATATTTTAGGTTGTTTGCACTTATATAGAAGGAATCATCTTAAATGTTCGGAGATTTGGATTACTTTACCCCCTTGGAGATGAGTGTTTCTATTACTTTAGTCATAAAAAGTGAAAAACATAGTTGTTGAGTTATTGTTGCTTAGAAATTAAAAGTAGGTCTTTGTTTACTTTATTTATTAACAATAAAAGGGAAAAAGTAAAGCGATGATCCTACATATTAGCCCATGTGATCATCATTCCAAACAATATTTTCATTGATTCATATTTATAAGATATAGTTAATATGCAAGTGTGTAGACATGTTTCTCTATATAATTTAGAAAAGTGACGAACCTTTAGGATTCAAGATTCGGTACAAGGCCACTTCGATTCACGATTCGAAGCCTGATTTAACAACTATGCTAAGACATTGTGGGACCCTCTAAGCTAAGACATTGCTTTGTTGAACCTTAAATTAACAAAGCTTAGATTGCATAAAAATGAGAATCACAAACATGGCCTAAAATGTGTTGGTAAGCATAATTAAGCCACCTTATGCTTGAGATTTATTGGAAGAACTCTACAACCAACACCTCATGCTTATAATGAAAACTCATGCACAAAAAAGAAAAAGAAAAAAAAACATTGTGAATTCTTCCAAGTCTCCACCGAAACACCATTAACCATACCCTAAGGAAGCTTACCCAACTCATCGCTTAACTCCCAAAAAAGGAAGACAAGACAACCCTAGTAAATTGTGCATAAATGAAGAGGAACGAGTCTCCAAAAGCCAGCAGTTTTTGTGTTAAGAATGGATACTTTTTGGTGTTTATTGGAATTAAGCACTCCAAAAGGTATAGTGCAAAGAAAAGTAGGCCCTTTACATTATGTGAAAGTTTGTGAAGCTGTAATCAAGAAAAATTCAGGAAAAAGTTGGAAAGCCACAAATAAGTAAGAATTTAAGGCCACGTTTGGTATCATTTTGTTTGTTTTCTGTTATGTATAAAAAAAAATAAAAAATAAAAATGGAAGGGGAAGGAAACTAATATGAAAACTTGTTTAACAAAATTTTTCCAATATCTATTTTGCGAAAGTTTTTTGAAGACAACCTATTTTAGAAAACACTAATAAATTGTATTTCTAAAATTTCAAAACTATTTTTGCACAAAATTAAAATAATACGAAAATATTGGATGCTTCCAAACTTCTACAAAAACACGAAAAATGAAATTGAAATACATAAATAGAAACGATACCAGACAGTGACTAAGGTTTCATGTCAATATAATATTCATGTTCTTCATCTACCTCTCACAGTCTCATCTATAAATGAATTCTCTAACTTCACAAAAATGATAAGAACGGTGGAATTGAGGTGGAACTTTGGCAAATACAAGACTAAAGATTAATATGGTGGAATTTGAATTTGAATAAAGCATGAATTTATTGATGAATTAAATAAAATTTAATGGTTTAATGCATTAGAATTTGGACGTTGATATGAGACCTTTGGAGACTTTGAAGACTTTGACCTGGGTTTTGAGTATGTTAGAACCTAGAGATTTAGCCTTAGATCAAGTTTTGGCTGGAAAATGATTGAATTAGACTGCCGAATTCAAATCTACTCCAAGTTGCTAGGGTAACCCTACACTAAACCTAGTGAGTGCTCTATTTTTGTTTCTCCATCCCACTCCATCTACAAGCAGACTATCAGTTAATTGATGGACCAACATGCTAGTCCTTTTCCACTGGAAGCAGAAATGAAACAACAAATAAAGGGATCAATGTGTGACATCAAATCAAAGTCACTACTTTTGTTGCATGAGCATACATTGTAGTCAACGGACAAATCACTGAAAATGTGGGGGGAAAACACATACTAAAGAACACAAGAACTACAAGGATGGGGCAAAACCACTGCCACAAAAAGTTTTTTCTTCTCTTCCTTGGCAAACTAAGAATAATTACACAGCACAATATTTTTTCGTGATCATCCACTCCAATTTTTGATAACTCAAACCAGTGAAAATTATAATAACTGCGACGTAAATAACCATTTTGAGCAGTAAAAATTCAAACTTTAAAATCTTATTTTCACAAGAGTGATCTTAACCTAGCAATCACCATATATCAACAAGGTCAAACTGAACTCTAAACACCTAATTGACAACAAATTTGTCGAAACACAGCTTATAATATTCAACCAACATATAAACAAGACCAATAGGACTAATTTGTAATGAACTGTCACAATAAAGTGCACACGCAATGCAATCAACTATATATGAAATCAGTAAATTAAAACAGAAGCCTACATAATCACAACCTAACTTTACAAATTAGAACAAAACTTAGATACCAAAAGACTTTGGAGCGAGAGGACACAAAGAATCAGCGAAGTTTCCCAAAATTCAAGATCTCAATCGAAGAGTCACTAAGCGATTAGACACAACAGAGAAGTAAGTTTTCCATCGATATACGAGTACGAATGGATGTGTAGAGTTGATAAAGGAAGAGAATGAATTACAGGAAAAAGAATAAAATTGCTTTCATGGCAAGCTGGGGAAGAGAATACATTACCTGAGTGCATTGAAACCGCAGAGAGAGAGAGAGAGAGAGAGAGAGAGAGAGATGTGGGGTTTCGAAAAACAAAAAGCGAAGAATGAGAGTTGGCTCTCTAAACAAATCAAAACGAACCTATCGTTTTAGTCCCTTCAATTATAAATGTTCATAAATTTTGTTTTCGAAGTCCGCATTTTACGGTTTTACCCCCATTATATACGCATAGTCGCTTGCATATACTAGGGGTGAGCATGGTTCGGATTGGACCGGATTGGGATAAAACCAAGACCAATTCGTTATCTACGGTTGCTGAAAAATTGGAACCAATTCAATCCGTTTAAATCATGGAACCAATCCGAACCAATCCATTTAAATACGAATTGGATCGGTTTAGGACCACGGATTCACATAATTAAATAACAAAAAAATATATATAACACTTTAATTTCATAAAAATATAAACATAGCGCTATATTAGTTCCACAATAGCAACATCTATTTCTATAATAGCGACATACTGTGCTAGAATTTAAACAACCATAAGAAAACTGGTTTCACCATAAGTATTTAGACCATTACAAATTAAAACTAAAAACTAACAAATAAAAGTAATAAAAGAAGATATTATACGGTTTTATGTTTGAGTTTAGATTTTATATAGAATAAAAGAAGATACTATGGGGGAGGATGTATAATAAAAATATATAGTATTTGTATACGGTCCGGATCGGTTCCAATCCGAAACCGTGGGGTTCAATCCGGAACCAATCCGTGTACTACGGATTTTTAATTTTTCAATCCGGAACCGAACCACGGATTCAAAAAACCAATCCAAACTTATCGGATTGGACTGGATTGGATCGGATTACGGATTTCACGGATTCCTTACTCAGCCCTAGCATATACACCCCGGCTTCTTGCTTTGCTTGCCTTTTTTCTTTTCTTTTTTTTAAACAAAAGCTCTTTAACTGAGGGCATTTTTGAGACTTTGCAGTTTTCATAAGATTTTGAAAGGGCTACATCACAAATTTGCTCGGCCGAATAGAATGGAACAAACACAAATCAGTGTCTTTGATTTGAGTGTTTTGGATTAAGTTTTTTAAAAATTGAGTTTTTTATTTTTCGTGTTTTTTTTTAGTGAATATTTTTAAAATTTTAAACATTTTTTTAGTTTTTTAGATACACCTTACTTAGATGTATCTAAAAAATAAAAAAATTGTGAAAAAATATTTTTAAAAATTATTAAATACATAAAAATACAAAAAATGTACTGAATTCTCGTATTTTTTTTTATATTTTTGGTATTTAATGAATTTTTAAAAAAAAATTTCACAAATTTTTTACTTTTTAGGTATATTTATGTTAGGTATATCTAAAAATTAAAAAAATTGCTTAAAATATTAAAAAAATTTATTAAAAACAAAAAAAAACGGAAAATAAGAAAGTAATTTTCTGAGAACTGTTTTCAGAAAAACGAAACCAAACAAGCTGAATACATTTTTATTTCATTTTATAAAAATCTTTTATGTTCTTGACATGTTATTTATTATAATAAGCATCATATGAGAAATAGTAAAAAATTATAAACGAATTAGTATTTAAAGCCACACCCTTTGAGCATTCACATATGATACAAAGGCCATAATAACATATGCTTTTCGTTGGTACTCTTGTGCCTATGCAACAAAATAAGCATCAACTTAAATTTTGTCACTCCAAATGTTGTTGTTTCTGTTGTTTCTCAATTTAACTAGTATCTTGTTATTATAGATGGTGTGTGAAACAAAGTCTTGTTTGGACAGATACACTTTGGGTTGCTAGGGCGTTTCATCCAAAAAACATTGCAGCAAAACTTGGGAACTTTTCTCGAATGAAAATTAATAAATAAGTAGAAATGAAAAGCACTACTCAAATTTTTATAATTGACTTTTTTAAACTTCTCTCATTACCTATAAAAAGAAATTGTACCTGACACATTTTCCACAAAATAATAATAATAATACACTCTTAAGCAACTCAATAAGCTGCACCAAACAAAACCGTAAACCCAGATAACATTCTAATGGTTAGAAATGTACATTTTGATGTAATCTGAGATGTATTAGATACGGCGACCATTGATTATAATGCATTTTTAAGTTCAATTGCTTCCTCCAAAATAAAGAAAAAGAAAAAAGCGAAGTAGAGGAAGAAGAAGAGCAAGAGAGGAAATGGTAACTCAATCTGCTGCTGTAAACTGGTATTTGGTTGCAGTTCTAACCCAACTCTTAATTAAAAAACCACAAATTTCCCACCACAATGGATGTTCCCAAAAAAAAAATTTGTAAAAACAAAATTGAACAGGGCAGGAATCATATCACCGACATCCTTAAATATTCGATAGAATTTGAAAACATTTCACAGAAAAAATACTTCAAAGATGTATGTACATGATCAGCACACTGGCAGAAGGGAAGGGGAGGAGGGCATGTAATTCTGGTAATGCAAAAGCCTTTTGTCTTCCAAGTTCACATCTCTTACCATTGAAGTGTGTACTTTCTTATTCATGCTGCCCCAAATGTAACTGAAAAGTGCCAACACCTCTTTTGTCTTTCATAAAAACACTGGTCCAAATCGAATTACTTTTACACTCCCAACTGAATCTCTGATTAAATAGCAAAACAGGTCAACTAGATTACTGGCCAGGGTTTCCCAAAAGTCGCTCCACAGCAGCATGAACATTACCCGAGGTGGCACGTAGTGCCCTGATATTCTCTTGGGTATCAAAGAAACCCATTTCTTGAAGCTGTGACAGTTGAGTTGCATAAATCTCTTCTGGTGGCCCTGCAAAAAAGCAAAATTGTATAGATTTCAACAAAGGGCTGAAAGACAGGCATATCAGGGGGGGAAATGTAAGAAAATTGTTACCTTCGGGTGTATTTGGAACAGCCAGGCCACCAGCTCCAAGTCCACCGAACATATTCATCAACAACTCAAGTCCCATATTGTTTTGCGTTGCTGTAATTTGCAGCAGTATCAATGGAAGCTTGCATTGAAAGGAAATATGGACAGAAAAACAAAAAAAAATTGCAATTTGTTAGTTCAGATACCTTGAGTCCCACCAGTCTGAGTTGGTTCCCTGCCAAGAGACCAGCACAGGATAAATCAGCTGGAACCAGTGCTGACAAATGATCAAAAGATTGCAGGAATACTATTCACACACTAAGAGCAATGCAAACAAGACAATACCACTCAATGCCAGCCCGAAGTGGGCTTTAGCACTTGCTATCCAAAGCATGAATCGTCAACTCATGCCTTAAGGTGTTGGGTCAAGTCCCACAACGAGTGCAACCCTCGTGTTTAGTTGAAATCGTTGAGTTTGAGTTCTATTTCATTATAATCCATCCATATCCCAATTGCATTCATTGTAATATCCCTTTCATGTCATTGACATAACATATATCGCTTCTAGTTTTTTTTTTTTTCCCAGAGAATAAAGACTGCAAAACAGATCAGTCAACCTGATCGACGAATCTATTCTAACTATCAACGAATGACTCTGGTTCTGCACCACCGTCTCAGGCAGGGCGTGTTTTACACAGACTAATCAGTCCATAATTTTGACATAAAGTGCAAGGGCTCCCCACCATCGGGCGGTCTGGGGGGGGTCAGGTTTTTTACATGGTAGTGTTACCATATTCAATGAAGTCAAAGAAAATGGGATCTAAATCCAAATACACTCCTGTTTTAAATAAAGCTCAAATAGGTGCAATGGTCAAAACACTCACCCCCATTTGTCCACAAACAGACAACCATGAAAAGATATTGAAATGAAAACAAAAGTAAGACACTAGCAGCTTGTACGCACCCGCTCAACCCAGAATAAGAAACCCAAAAGGCAAACAATTGCTCTAGAAACCACCTAAATAAATATCTAGTTGGATTTTCTTCAGTCAGTCTGCAAGTCAAACTAAAACAGTTAACATTCAAGTTATGTGTGCAAGCTGATGTTCGCCACAACAACATAACAATCTAGGAGTAGAATATGCAATAATCAATGAAGTTTGGTCAACTGAGTCATTATCAAATGACATCTTTGTTGAAAGAGAAGGCAAGAGAGAAAGAGAGAGACAAAAAAGAAGAATATGCTACTAATTGAAAGTTGCATCCATAAATAAATTTTTTAAATGATGCCTCCGGGGCTATCCTACCCAGAAAGTGAGTTATCAGTAATTAGAAGCCATAATTCTCCCATCTGGAGGTATGAATTCACATCTGGTTCAATAACCAAAATGTACAGGAAGACTCCACAGGAATGACAATCCCTTGCCTTCTTTCACCCCAAGAATCAGATTCTCATATCTTCAACTACGTATATTTTCAATGCATGGAATCAGTTACAACAATAACCAATCCCTAGTTTTTGTGAGTGCGTGTGTGCATATATGTGCACCAGTAAGCACAAATGTTACATTATAGTTAGCTTATAAACAGCAATTACATATTTTGCCTTCCAAGTATTTGTTGAAATTATTCAATGCTACTTTTATCTATACAAGAAAACCTTCATCATAAAAACCCTAGACGCACATCACTCAAACCAAGTTCGAGTTCATTGGTTTCATACAACATATATAATAAGTAAAATTACCAACGAGAACATATACACTTGCATATGTACAGTTGGAGCTCATTGGTTTCATTCAAACTACCAAAGAGAACATAAGCATATATGTTCAGTCAAACATATATACATATTTGGATAAGCAGAAGCATTTATCAAAGTACGGAAAAGATAAAAGCCTCATACAAATGATGTACACCAAACACATGAACCACTCCATTTCAAGAGCTATAGGAGAACACACTGAACATGAAATGTCATGTACACAATGGCCTCATTCTGATCTCACAGAACATCCAAACATCTCATTGTTCACCTGAACTATGGTTTCAATAATTTGTCTAGTAAACTGGGGCAAAGCCAATATAAAATCCATCAAAACCTAAAAGAAACCAGAATTATCACAATTCAGGTTTCAGCCACAAGTTAAAGGAAGTGATTTATGATCACTTACTGCGTTGATTGCAGCCGGTTAAGCTGAAGTGCCTGCTGTAAAGCCAACATTTGCTGCAAGAAATAAGAAGACTAATTCAGAGGCATCAACCAGAAAACCCATCACATAATTCAAATATATACCTTGGTATTTGTGTCAGTGCATATGTATATGAGAGACAGAGAGATCAGGGGACTTAAAGCAACATACCTGCATTGTCTCAGGCGAGGTTAATCGCCGAATAGTTTCTGGGTTTTGCATCATTTCTCTTAACTGAGGGTTCATGTCGAGCATACCACGGAGTTGTGGATTCAGACCAAGAAACTACAGTTAAAAAATGACATTAAAAAAAAGTGAATAGAACTCTTTTGACAGCTGACCACCTCTTCATCTAATGTAATATTCTTTGCCCATACCTGATTCATGCTCTCAGGGTTGGAAAGTAAGCTTTGCATCATTTGGGAAACAGCTGGATTCTGCAAGAGTTGATTCAATGCAGGAGGGTCGGGCATGCCAAACATGCGCTCCATCTCCGGAAGACCAAGCCCTCCTTGCCCACCAATGCCAGGCGCCCTTGCATTCCCAGTAGGATTTGCCGTTGCAGTAGTGTTAGCTTGGGAACCTGCTAAGAATTCACAATTACAGAAATGAGAAAAGTTTGAACTAACATTCAAATAGAAATTGAGAGTACAGGATGTTAGGGAGAAATTTCTGCTGAGGAAAGTTATCAAGAAGATTAAGAAAAGAAACTGGAAATGCAATTTGATTTGACAAATCGCCGTGTCCTTTCTTTAATTACTTGCAATTTATGGAGTGTTGTTAAGCATCCACCAATCATAAGGGAGTCTCAAAGCACATAAAATATTTCAGACAATGGCCTAGAAGACATATACAATATTGTAAGACTTGGCTATTCTATTTAAAGTTTTTTGCCATCTATGTGTGTGACAGCGGGTGGAGTAATCTCTGAAGCTAAATCCCACGGAATTGATCATTCAGATCTATTTTTCAAGTTTGCATCATCAAAGACTGATAATGTATGGCCACTGTGCTTGCAATTGTCAAAATATCTTACACATTCACTGCCACAGAAAATATATCAGCTTCAGTATCTCCCAAGATAAATCCAGCAAGCTTGATATTCAATCCATTTTTTTCTAAGTTTGCATGGTCAAAAGCTGCTAATGAATAATAATTCCTATAGTTAAAAGATATTTCTTTTTTATATTTTTGTTAAGAAGAATTGTCACAATAAAAAACCAAAAACAAAGAAAGCACGAAAGAAAGGATAAGAAACAAGCAAACAGAATAGAATATCGTTAGAAAAATAACGAGTGGGTAAATATAAAACTAGAGGAGCTTACCACCAGTACCACTCCAAGGGTTAGGAAGTGGATTGGAATTTGGAACAGCAGTAGACCCAGTAGTTGTTTCAGACCCAGTGGTTGAAGGATTGTTAGATCCATCTCTGGTTTGGGTGCCACCACTTTGATTCCCCAAAAGAGCAGCAAATGGGTTTGAACCCATATCATTTCCAGTGCTTCCAGCCATTGTTGTAGCATTGAGAAATGGTTCCTGAACATTTTCGTACATTCGTCTGAGCATGTTGAATCCCTCAGGAGAAGATTCAATGTTACTCATTGCCCTGTCAGTGTTTCGCATCATCTCCCGCATGAGCTCAGGGTTCCTTGCTGCTTCTAATGTCTGCCGAAGGATGCCAGGATCATTGAGAACATGAGCAAGCTCAGGATTCCGGTCAATGAGCTCACGCATTTGAGGGTTACTCATGATCAAGCTGCGCATTAGGTCAGGATTGTTCATTAGGCTCTGGATGGCTGGCATGTTCATTATTTCTCTCATCATGTTGGGATTCTGAGTCAATTGTTGCTGCACTTGTTCAAACTCCGGAAGCTCAGCTCCAAATAAACCAGATGCTCCAGAGCCACCAAGAGCATTGTAACCAAGGCCAGGAAATAAAGATGCCCCAAGACCAGCAACACCAAAGCCCCCACCTTCGTTTGAACCAACATTCTGTGCAACTCCTGAAGTGGGATTAGGATTAGGATTGGCAGTGGCAGTAGCAGTATGAGTAGGTGTTGATGTGGCTGGAGCAAACCCACGCACCATATGGACAGTGTGATCTGCCTGTAAACCTTCAGACAATAAAAGAATGGAAAAGAAAAGATCACCCATGAGAAGAAAAATTAATAATAAAAAGAAATTAAAAATCCAGGTCACACACAGAACATTTATGATTAGGCAAAGTAAGAATAAATAATAACAGAAAACAAGTGAATATAGATGCAAAATGGCTAAAAAAATTCGGCACCTAAGAAAATAAAACTTCCTATACCAGTTTGTAAGTTTATGGAATACTGATATTCAGATAACACTTTATAGAAGGAAAAATATAATTATCAGTTGAAAGCTTAGCAACTTCATGTCAAAGTGCATACAGACCATCAACAATAGCAACCACTGGAGTATCCATGTGAAACTTGGTAGATAAACTTTACAGCAAATAGTCAACCATTCATTTATGGTAAGAATGATACATAAACAAGTAATTTACTAGTGATTTGTTACAAGTTACAAGTTACAAATTACAAGCATTTTTTTGGGTAAGAATTTCAGCAATGATACATTACAGCCATGGAAGATTAAAAAACAAAGTAACCACCAGCCTTGGCATAGTTAACAGTTTTAAACAAACGGGAACCCCAAAACCAATTTGAGGAAGATCTGTTTTGAGAATCTCTAGATCATAGTTAACAGATTAGTCTCCATTCAATACTGGGTTCCAGTTCCAAGTTGGGTTTCTTTTTCTTTTTTTACCCTACTCCTCAATACATATACGAACTTCTCAACTTCGAACCACTTGATATACGATATTTATTTTTAGCATCAAAACAAATAGCTTAAAGAATGACAGATTGAGGGTTAAAAACAAAGGAAGAGAAGAAAAGAATGCAAGAGGGAAGCTTTAGCATTTATGATTAGGAGCCTTTTAAATACTATTCCTATATTTCCATCTTATTAGTTCTTTTAGAGTCGCAAGTGATAGAATTTTAGAGGTACTATACTAGTTTACTATGATAGGTGGGATTACTTTTACAGGATATTTAAGTGTTTTCTAGGGTTTTATGAAGCCTGTGTAGGCCTTTTAGGTGTGAAACAAAATTGACTTTTAATAAACACTAGTAGAAAGGGCTTTGGCTCTCTCTCCTTTTTATTTACTCCTCAAACTCTTCTTCTCTCACATCTCTTCTCTCATATATCTATGTTCTTTCTTTCATCTCTTCTCTCTCTCAAAATTGTCTTTCTTTATCTTGATCTCTTATCTTATCCTAATACTCTCTTCCTTCTCCCATAAATCAGCATTCTCCTTTATTTCTATATACCTTTCTCACCATATACAAAAGGAAAATCTCAGCATGTTTTGCGCAATGTGGTTGAAAAAAACCTTATGAGACTAACATCACTTAGGTATATGAAGAAGTCCAGGTTAGCATTTCTTCATGCCATGCTACAAAACAATGCCAATGCATCATGATTCATGTACAGACATACATACTTGGATATGTGTGTGCGTGCGTCAGATTGTAGCTTGGAGGCCAAGGGAACTTGGTGGGCAAGGTAAGACAGACTAAGAAAAGGGTTGTTATTTAAACCAAGTAGACCCCGGGTTTCATAACAATACAATGTGTCACTTCCACAAAAAGCAATAGAATTCAAACGAAAATAAAAAAAAAAAACTTTCATATGCAATGATACAATACAACTAGCCAATCAAATCATGATAGGCAGTCAAACACAAGTTTTCAATTCCAGAATCTCATTGAGAATACTAGGGGCTTCTTAAAATAAAACATTAGGGGTTTCCATTCTCACTTCTCTTCCACCATATAACTGTAAAAAAAATGAATTGTTTGTAATTAGTTTCATCTTGCCACATAAAAAATGAAAAAATTGTTATTATTTTTACATGTACATATGTAAGTAAATAATTATGTATCCATGTCATAATTTTTATAAATTGCCATGTCATCTAGTTCGTATCACATAGTATATACCCCACATTAATATCCATCACAAATCTTTATAATGGCTTCCCCTTGATTCTAGGCTACTTTGTTGTTCAATAATGAATATTCAGCTTACAAATCATATTTGTGGTGCAATTACGTTTTCAGGAGAATATCACTTGCCATTGGATTTATTTATTTACAAAAAATGTAGGAGCTAAAAATTTATAATAATTTTATGTATCCTTCTTGTTTGATAGGAATAGTATTATTAATTGGCAAAGGAATCCACATTGCATTCACATGAAACCCTCCAACACACTCAAGGAACATATGACCAAAACAGTGTCAATAGGAAGACTTTTCTTCAGGTAAGTGAATGAGTATTAATGAAGAAACAAGGAAATGAAGTACAAATTTCGAGAAAGGCATACCCTACTATTCAAAGAGATGAACTTTGTCATAAGAAAGAATACAAAATGAATATATAGGACTAATAATGTTGAAAAATATAATACGGATTTGACCAGTTTTTGCAAATTAGAAAGCCAATAAAAAAACTTCCATGATAAACACAAGCTTTCGCTTCCGAAATCTCCTCATCTAAATTGCTATGCAGAAGTTACTTTTAAGTTTCTGATTTTAATCAATAACGAAACCAAGATCAAAATCGTATACAGTGATCACAATTCACAACCACACCGATGATAAAATCTAATCTTACCCATTAAAATTGAAATTTATTTGAAAAACAAAAATCAACACAATAGCAAATAAAAAAACACAAAAGAGGGTAAGAAATAGATATATATATATATATAGAGAGAGAGAGAGAGAGAGAGAGAGGAAGGGGGGGGGGGGATTAACCATAGCTAGCTAGGTTTTGGTCGTCCTTCAAGATCCGACCTTTGTAAATCAACCTCTGCTGATCAGCGGGAACTTCGCAGTTGTGCGCTAGAACAGCTTTAAAAGCCACGACCGTCGAGTCGAGGGTCGTTCGCACAGAGAATTTGGATCCGTTAGAGCATCGAACATTGATGGTGACTTCTTCACCACCGTCAACGCCGACGACGCTCGACTCCGCTGACTCGCCCTCAGCAACCATACCGAAATCAATCAATCAAACAAACAAATGGATCGATCAAAAAAAGCCCACAAAAACCCTAACCCTAGGAAATGAATGATCAACACACTACTTTTCTATTTCTATGGAATAAAATGAGAGAGAGAGAGAGAGAGAGAGAGAGAGAATTGGGAGCAATTGGGTAAGGTGTAGGTGTGTATATGCGCGTTCGTTTTGTTTCTCAAACAACGTATGAGTGGGAGAGGTTGAGGATGGGGTTGGCTTTGGGTTTGGGCTTGCTTGGGCTTGGCTTGGGCTTGTCGGAGAGAAAAGGGAGAAATTGGTCGGTCTTCTGCGGATCGGTTCGCATATTCCAATTTGGCGAGTCGAATTTTGGATCGACTTCTACTCGTGAGTTGTTGGGAATCCCGCGTGGAAAGGTTAGGAGGCCAATTTCTCATTTAAAAATTACCCTTTGTCTTTTCTTTTTTTTTTTATGTTTGTTTATTTTCTTATTTTAATTCTGTAAATTTCTTACTATTATTTTTTTGTACTTTAATCTTTTACGTTTAAAAAAATTTTCATTTTATTTTTAAAATTATTTTTATGAAAAATTAGATAAAAATTATCATAATAACTGTCACGTAATATAAAAATATATTCTTATATTATAATTTAAGTTTATATCAGTTATATGAGTTATATATAATAAAATATTTATATATCATATAATTGACAATATATCATTTTCTACTTAATTTTGAATAAAAATTGGTTTTAAAAGGAAAGTAAGAAAAATTTTAAACGTAAAAGGTTAAAGTAGAAGAAAAAAAATTTTAATGACTAAAATAAAAAAAAGTAACTTACCCTTCACTAATTAAATATTATATTATACAAATAAATTTTTTTTAAAAAAAATCATCAAAAAATCTTATTTTATACTTAAAAGGGTCATTTTTTTATAAGGGATAATTATCGAGAAGTCTTTTTTTAAAAACGTGTAGTTTATTTAGTCCCATAACCTTTTGTTTATACCCGAAAGTCCTAAAAGGTTATTCTTCTTCTTTGTCTCTCTTATTTTCTGCCTCTTTTGCTCTTTGTGATTTCCGGCGATCATTGACTGGTAAGCATATCTTACTTCTTCTCTTTCTCTTTCCGATATATAGTCACCGACGATCGACAACTACAATCGATTGGGATTCACCGGCAACTACCGATTGCCGATTCCTTACTTCACCCTCACCAACGGTAAAGAAGATATATTTTCGACAAAGAAGATGAGTAAATCTACTTAGATCTGATGTAGATTTACATCAGATCTGAGTAGATCTACATCAGATTTGGCTAGATCTAAACAAAAAATAGTTGCCGGAGTACAATCCTCTCTCTATATCCACATTTCTCCTTCGATCTTTTATTTTTTTCTACATTTTCTCTGCTATACACTTATCTTTTTCTGTTCTACTGGAGAAAATTTTCAAGTTTTGAACAAGTTGTTTTCGAGTTTTAGTTATAGGCGGTGAAAACTGTAAAATTTTACAGTTTCAAATTTTTTTGGTACTGGAATGAATCATGGTATAAAACTGTAAAATTTTACAGTTTCATAACATGTTTTGCAGTTTGATTAATAAGGATAAATGCTTAATAGATTTTTTCTTTGAAATTGTAATATTTTACAATTTCAAAACTTACTTTTCAGTTTGATCAATATTGGAGATTATTTGCTTAAACCTTACAAAAATTGAAAAATAGCATATGTTTTTTCTATTGTTGTTGTTTTTTGTTGTTCAATTTTTTTTTTCCTTTAAGTTTGTTAATATTTAACACATTCAGCTATGTTTTTTCACTATAATTTCTCCATTTATTCCTTTTTTTTTCTGGGCAATATTTTAGACATTCCGGTGAGTCTCCAATGTTGTTCTTAACGTCCAGTGAACGTTCTGAACATTCCGGCGACTTCCATTAACGTTTTTAACACTTCGGTGAACTTCCGGCGATACTCTGGCGACTTCCTGACGATACTCCAGCGACTTCCCGGTGATGTTGAACATTCTGACGAGTTTTCGGTGACCGTTTGACGGAAGTTCGACAGTAGTAGGATGTAACAATGTCTGTAAATTTTATAAAATATATATATATAGGATTTTTTGTTAACAATTAAAAATATATAGGACTAATTGGTGCAAGTGTTTTGTTTGAGGATTAGATGGGTCTTAAACTTTGTATATGGGACTTATTGGTAAATTTTCCTTTTTATAAATCATCTTTCTAAATGTTTTATTTCATCTAACTCATATTCTTTTTTACCATTCCATTAAGTCCTGTTTAATGTAATATGACCAAATAATCATTTCTAATTTTTTACACATGTTTCTATTTTGAAACTAATACATAATAGTAGTTTTTTATTTTTTGGATAAAATATCTACCTCATTCCAAAAATAAAATCTTTCCTTATTCTATAGAGAAAATCTCTCTCGTATTCCATGAAGAAAATCTCAAATTATGAATTTTGAACCTTTTTATAATTTGAAAATTTTAAAAATAACGCAACAAAAAATCTAAATGAAAATTAAAATGCAATGTGAATGTTCACAATAAACAACAAATATACAACTAACTTTTGAAAAAACAAAACGCATACTAAAGTACAATGCGAATGTTCACAATAAACAACAAATATACAACTAACGTTCGAAACAATAAAATTCATATCAAAATACAATGTGTATATTCACAATTCATAATTAATATACAACTAGCCTTTAAGAAAAATAATTCATACCAATGTGAAAATTTACACTGCAACGTGAAAATATAAAATAAAATTGAAAAAAGTAAAAATCAATTATTTTAATTGTTCAGCGGTAACAAAAAATTATTGTTCAACTAACAAGTATAATAACAAAAACAACAAACACATAATTAACTTTCGAAAAAATGAAACTTATACTAAAATACAATGTGAATGTTCACAATTTACAATTAATATACAACTAGTTAAAAATAAAATAAATAAAAAAACTCATACCAATGTGAACATTCGCACTACAACGTGAAAATATAAAATAAAATTGGAAAAAGTGAAAATCGACTATTTCGATTGTTCAATTGTAACAAAAATGATTGTTCAACCAACAAGTATAGTAAAAAATATATATATATATATATAACCAACTTTTGAAAAAACTTAACAAAAAAAAAAAAAAAAAAAAAAAAACTCATACCAAAATACAATGTGAAAATTTATAATTTACAATTAACATACAACTAACCTTAAAAAAAATTAAAAAAAAAATCATACCAATGTGAACATTCACACTGCAATATGAAACAAAATTCAAAGAAAAAATGACTATTTCAATTATTTAATGATAATAAAAAATGATTGCTCAAACAACAAGTATGTTAACAAATAACCAATGATATGTGAACATTCACATCTTGCAAAATATATAATTATGTCCATATCTGTAACAATCCTGACCCATGATTAACGCTAATTCATATTTAAGTATGCCAAAGAAGTAATTAAGAAGAAATCCTGAGTTAATTATATGTGCATTGCATCATTTTGTGTGTATATCTATTTGATGTAGGAAGATCTGTTCATGTTTTAGTTTTGATTTGCAAATTGAATGCCTTATCGGCATCCGATTCAGAAATTGACTTGATTTATATGTTAATTAGGATTTATAGGATTTTATGGTAAGTTTAATTAAAATTTGATTTACAACGATTAAATTAGAATAATTAATACTACTTAACTTAGGTTAAGCCAATTACTTAAATGCCACTAAGTGTGCTTATGCAAGACCACTTCTACACCTTATTACATGTTTTTGACACTCTTACTTCCCACCTTCAAGCACCAAACGTGAGAGAGAGAGAGAGAGAGAGAAGAAAATTGAACTCAAACCAAGGAATTGCTAGGAATTGTTGACATTTGAAAAAGATTTGAGAGTTTCAACTTCAACTCTTGTGAATTCAAGTCTCTAAGTAAGGAACCAAACTCTTAATTGTGTAATTGAGTTAGACTCTACAAGACTTCAAGCGAATTAGGTGAATTCATGAGGGAATTGCACTAGAATTGAGGGGAATTGAGTCACACCATGTATGCATGTTTTTTTCTTTACAAATTGGGCATGATTTCAAAGAATTCTTTCATGCATGTGTTTATCTCACCTATGTTTTAAGAATTCATCCTATTTTGCATCCTCTCATTTCATTTGATCATGATTTGGAGACTTGAAACTCAAATTATTTCATGCATGTCATGTCATGTTTTTTGGAACATCCATAAAGTTTAAGTTGAAATTGTGAACAATTGACATACTTTTGGCCTTGATTTTATGAAATGATCTTTAAATCATGATGTTTTGTGAGTTTCTAAATATATTCCAGAATGTTGACCCAATAGGATGAGTTTTGGAGTGTTGAATTCATGTTTTGAACTTTGGGAGCAAATCTGGAAAACCTAAAATTTTGCTTCCACGCTCGAGCGAGGGATTCCATGCTCGAGCGACCACCTTTATTTTTACACTTCGGCTCGAGCGACAAAAGGTTGGCTCGAGCGTAAATTGCATGCTCTCAGAAGTTTGCGTGTTTAGAAGCACGCTCGAGTGACAAGACTTGCGCTCGAGCGAGGACTTGTGTCTCACGCTTGAGCGATCATCGAGCGAAAATTGCACACAACTAGAACTTTTTCACATTTTGCAGACCGTTCGAGCGAAGGAGTGTGCACTCGAGCGACCACTTACAGTCGGTATGTTCGCTCGAGCGAGACCCCTGTTTTCAGCAAGTTTTGAAAAATATTTTCAAGTGCAATTTTGCAACCTTATTCCATCCTAGGCATTCTTAGGCTATGATTAAGACACCATAATGGGGTTGAAGGCTAGAAACACACTAAGAACAAGTGAAATAAGTTATGTTCAATCCGAGCATATGTATTCAACGTATGTATTTATCCTGTTATATAGGTCACACACCTCAAGATAAGTGAATTACCTACACTACTCGTCTATTTTGAGCCACTGGTTATCTGTGAGTAATAACTCTATAAAGTTATGTTTAACTTTAATTATTTTCTGATGATATGAAATGATAAGTTTTCTGAAATGCTATGTTTTGTATGAATGAATGATTGTGCAATTTTCTTTGAAACATAATTGTAGTATCCTTAGCAGAGGCCCTCGCCCAGGGGACATAATACTGTGGCTATGGTCATGAGGCCCTAGCCCGGGGGGA